AACTAGTTACGACTCCTGATGTGCTACATGTGAGTTCTCAAATGTTTCTTAGCTTCTGAAAACGTAACTTTTTTTTTTTAAGTCTATGTGTGTATTGTCCTGAGTTATTGGAGCTCTGACTGCTTTTAGGATGGAGCTACAAAGTGGGAAAGCATCGGAAAAGTATTCTTTTTATCTTCTACTAGATCTCTTGTTGACTGCATATTGTCTGTCAGTTTGGTATCTCTTAAAGACCAGTGCACTGATACATAATTTTCTCCAAACTGATTTTTTTTTTTTTTGAAGTAGAGGCAAGTTTTCCCTTTCTTGCTGTACGTGCTACTGTCCTTGGTAGAACGGTGTGCATGCCTCTGCAAAGAAGTGTGGGGTAGAGTGGTCTTTAAAAGTTTTTTTAAGTGATCCAGTGCATAATAATATCCAACTCTTCCTCAACCACAAACCGGAAAAGGAGTTCTGTGGGTCTTGTGCCGCGCTCAGCACCATCAGGGACCAATCCTGCTTACAGATGCTACTACATCACTAACAAAATACAGTTCATCATGTCAAATCTTCATTCCCTTTGATTTCTGAGAAGGGGGATGATTGGAGTTAAATGGATTTTTATTTCTCTGCCTTCCTCCAGGAGCCTAATTTAGCTTTTTCCAGCAATCTTTCTTCTTTATCTTGAAATCATAGTTACAAATCAGTTGACAGTGTTTCATCACATGATAATAACAATAACCAGGGATGGGAGTCAGTTGCATCAAACTTATTTGGGGAGACCGAGGGAAATCCAAAAACCAGCAAATGAGGTTATTAAGTTCTCCCTTCAAAAATCCTGAAGGTTGTGGATGGTGATGAAGAAGTCTTATTCCTGACACAGCTCTGCCGTTTATGTGCAGTATCTTGGGGATTGGGGGTGAAGGGAGGGAGGGAATGGAGGGAAGGATGGAGGAAGCCCTTGAAAGCATATTGGGGTGAAATAAAAATGGTTTGTTTGACAGTGACAGACTAGGCACTGAAATTTCTCAGTTCTGAGAACAGATCTGCTCTGTGATGCAGAGCATGGGTAGGACTCTGCAGAACTGAAGGGAAAGCTGGGTTTAATTTTATTTTTTTTTCTTTCTTTTTTACAGCCTGAGTGTAGCAGTTACGGAGCTATATGTTTTTTTGGAAGTGCTCCATAAGCTCTGCTTTCCTGGGGGAAGAGGAGAGGAGGGCGGCCAGGCAGCAGTGTTGTGTGCCATTACCTGCTATTTCAGCAGCGAGTAGTTTGGATGGTTTTGTGGGTGCTGTCCACCTCTGAAATGGTCCTTCCTGTGTCCTAAGAAATAAATGGGTACATAAACTACAGCCTGTGAAAAGCTGGCTGACAGTAAGCTGCAGGTATTCTTATTGCCAAATTAAGGGAGAGCTAAAAATACACGAGCACGTATCTGAGAAGTGTAACTGCATTGGGTATCTTATGGGAACGGTAAAGAGAAGAGAGACGGTCTGTGAGGTGATCTGCATTAAGGTGACTCATACAATACAGAAAAAAGTAATAAAATGTTGTGTTTTCAAAAGTAAGTGATTTAATCCAGGGCATGTGAAGAAAAGGGCATGTGCAAAGAATTTGGAGATATGTAAAACACTTCTTGGTGTGCTGTTTTACGCTTTGTTTTGTTTAGAATCTTTCTACACTTCTAAAAAAGAGGAATTTTTTGGGGGAATGAAGCAGTAGTTTGGGAATTTTTTTTAACTTTCATTAAAATAGAAGCAGCTTCATTGCAAGTGAAGTGCAAAAAGATCAGATCTATCAGAGGAGAAAAGCATTCCTTCCTTCCAAAAGCTGCTGCAGATTGAATCCCTAATCTGAAGATGCTGCCAGTGGGATGTCAGCACCACCTTTTCTCTCAGCCTCAGGAAAACAGACGTGCAGGGTTGCTAACACTACTTCCATGGGGTGTCTGCCCCTTTTCACTTGTCTCTGAAGGGAGGGTTTGGGCTAACTGACATGAATGACAGTGCTCTGTCTACTTTTCTCATATAGCAAATGTCTCAAAAACTGTGCCAGCGGTACATGCAAGACTGTCCGAGCTGCGGTTTTAAGTGTAATACAATAATCTCGTGTTTGCAGCATATACCTCAGGAATTATCATGCTTGATTATTGCAATTTGCTCAGATATTCACTGGTTTAGCCATGTTTCTGTGGCGCCTTGTTCCCTTCAGACGGCACAGGACAGTAGATCAGCCCGGATCAGAGACTGTCAGCCTGTGCTCTCTAACCCGTTTCCTTATCAGACGACAGAATTTTTACATTAAGATTTTTTTCTTTAAAGCCTTTAACTGTGTTAGCTTTTAGTTTATCCTGGTTTCCCTTGAGCTAAAGATTAAAGTCCTAGAACAGCCCTTCATGTTTCTGAACTTTTTTTACCGAGTTCCAAGAAGTTGATACAAATTCTGACTGAAGAGAGGGGCTGGGGATAAGCCTGTTGTTGGCACTTAGCAGATATTTATATTCTACTGTGATATGCAACTTTACAGATTAAGGCTTTTTGACCAAGTGAATGTATTAGAGTTCCATCACGACTTCCCTTTACAGTCTGGTATAGGTTCTTTACCAAAAATCTCTGATATTTTCACTGCTTTTAGTCATTTATTTGTAGCCATGTTATCCTGCTGCTTCGTGTGTGTACCCTGGACTCAGGGGAGTTGGTTGGCAACTGAGAATACCGTCAAGACTCAGCCTTTGTCTCATGGTGCTTGCTCAAGATAAGATGTGCGTGTTCGTTCCCGGATCTGCCAGAGACGTACTGTGGAGCTCTGTGCAGGTCGCTGGATCCCATCCTCTCCCTTGCGAACAAGAAACAGATCTTACGAGTTTAAGTGATGTAGGAGCTACGAGAGTAGCATTGATTGGGGAGTGATGGGAAGGCAGCAATGCCATATTTTTATACTTATTGATAGAAAAATACAGACCTTACACTTTTGTTATGAGCTTTAGATGTTATGCGGCAGTACTGCCGCGGTACTTCAGGATGCCCATTAGGAGAACTGTCTGCATATAACTGAACGACTAACTTAACAGATAAATATATTGCTCCAAAATGCATAATAGAGTGTATTGCAAAGAGGGGAGCAAGGCTGCTGTGCTCATATGTCACAATGAGAATTACTATTTCTAATTCAGTGATCAGCTTCGCAGGTGAAACTTGAGAGTTCAGCTTGGTAACCCTGGAAAGTCACTTAACTGGCTCTACGGTCACTGCGGTCCACATAAATTCAATGTATTCCATGTGCACATACGCATGGAGATTCCTGGGACGCCTGAGCCGGCGAGGCATTTAGCCTCTTGTCTTTGTAGCACTAATATCTGTAAAGGCACACTGTACCATTGCTTCAAAGATTACACTCATTTTCCTGTTTTCCTTATGACAGCTTTTTTTTTAAAAAAAAAAAGGCAGACCAACCCCCAAACCCCAACTTATTCATGTCATAGTTCCCTAAGCCTGCCTGTCTGTAGTGGTGTGTTACAGCACCAACCAAGATCTGCTGATAGAAGCTGGGACTGTAAAGCTTTCTTAACAGTAGGTAGTAGAGCATTCTTGATGAGGAGCACTTGAATTTGCTTTTCTTTGTTACAAAACCGTTTGACCTTTCACAGTCTCTGCATAATAACAGGGTGCCATACCCTGAATTTGGGGGTAAGATCTGGTTGTTGGCAACAGCATTTGTTCCCCAGTCTTGACAAATTCTCGTTGTAATATTCAGATGCACTTTACTGAGTAGCATTTTCTTTTAAGTTACATCTCTGGCTTTAAAACAGTGATATAATCTAATAATCGAACTGCCTGTCGGTTCTCTCTTTCTCTCTGGTGCCTGTTTGACATCCAGCAAAGCATCCACAGGGCTATGATTTTGCTTATTCTAAGAAACGACTTTCAAAGAATTGGTCTGAGTGTAATGGGACGGCAGTTCATGCAATTAACCAAGAGAGACCAATCTGTAGGCACTTTGGGGCGGTGACCTTCTCTCTCCGTTTACTGTAAAACTGAGGGCAATTGATTTTTTTGTATGGATCTCTGGAAGCTGGCTGCAGTGCTCTGTGTACCATCGCTCAACTGTGTTCCACTTTTACCAGTTCCCTCCCTTAAACAGTGGTTCAGGCATTTGAATTGTTATTTAAATGCTCTCTCTGCTATTGCATGAAAAGGCATATATACTTAATGGACACTACTGTACTCCTTGTCCCGAACTAGCTGTTGGCTAAAATAAGGGTTGGAAAGTGGGGCAGAGTTGGGGTTTTTTTGGTTTGGGTTTTTTTTTCGCCTTGATAAAGTAGCAACTCTCTGACCTTGTGAAGATTATTTAAAATCAGATTTTTCAGAAGGTCCTTACACAGCAGATTGTAACTAGAGATGCTGGTACTGAAGTCTCTGGAAATCTGATTTCTTCATTCATATGTCTAACGAGAACTGAAATCTTAAAAAAAAAACAAAACTCTCCCCCTCCAGCACCAAGATGTCTATATCAAACCTCCCTGAAACTACAGCCTTGTGCCTCTAATAGCTCTGATCTCTTCTTCTTTAAAATCTGGAGTGCTTTTGTATTTTATAAAGATAGTGCAAATAGCTAAATCTAAATATTTGGACTTATGTTTGCCATCACAGATATGCTGTTTATTGAAATTTTGGGTTGCCAAATAATTGGATACTTTGGGTGAAAGTGGATGACTTTTCAACTGAACTGTTTTAATTTTTTAATCCTATTTCTTTTCAGCAAAGAGACCAGGTAAATGAGGTGTTAAAGAGAAGCTGTGGAACTTAGAGCAGTGGAAGTTTCTGCTCTCAAATTTATCCTAACATTGTTTTCAGCTTGCTGTGGACTATCTAGGTTATCTCATCCTACAGTCTACACCATTTCCTTTTTAATGAACTGGGCGGGGGGGGGAGCGTGGAGGTGGAAGAAGAAAAGGGTGAGACTTGCACTCGAGAGAGTATCTGTTTTTCACTCTTTTCTTGTCTTGTCGTATTTCAGGTATACAAATGCTCTCAGTCCAGCCAGACACCAAGCCGAAAGGTTGTGCTGGCTGCAACCGTAAGATTAAAGACCGGTATCTTCTAAAAGCTCTGGACAAATATTGGCATGAAGACTGCTTGAAATGTGCCTGCTGTGACTGTCGCCTGGGCGAGGTGGGCTCTACCTTGTACACCAAAGCCAACCTTATCCTTTGTCGCAGAGACTATCTGAGGTAGGCCATGTCTTTCTTACATTCACTGACAAACTTGGTAAATCTGTTCAGTCCTTCCTATGTAGCTGCTATTGCATAAGCGGTACTTGAGGGCTGCAAGGCTGAGTATATATGGAGGTTGAGAAAATAAACACTGAAATACAGAGATAAAACTAAAATCTGAGTCAAAAAGCACACGTAACCAGGTCATGCAGGTGGTTGCCAGTTTTCTGATTCTAATACTAGGGGTCCTGTGCTCAGAGGAGGAAGAGGGTAAACACCCCCTCCCACGCTTCCCACAGCACCACGCTCCTGGGGAGCTGGTGGTCTCCTCCTCCTAGCAGCACAGTGGTGGCCAGGCGTAGCGGCCTGAAACCGCGTGTGTGGTTTTTCACTGTCTCCAGTGCAGGGTTTGAACTCTGTAAGTGAGGAGTACTTCACTCGTCTTCGCTTACCTACTCTCGTCCTCTTCGTTTGCCAAGGGATTTAATTTATGGTACAGGAAGCTTCTAAGAATATTGCATTTAGCTGTTAGAAGCTGGACCAAGGTGACCAACTGTATTCCCCGTGCTAAATAACCATGTCGCTAGTAGACCCAAATCTACTCTGGTTCTGATTTAACTCTGAGACCTAGGTGGTATGCTCGGTAACCTGTTGCCAGGTCTCATGAGACAGCAAATCATCACCTGATTTTCTTCTTGTTTGCTTGTGGACCTACATTCTCAAAAGTATTTGAGGTATAACTCGTAGCAAAGTACTGATGAGCAGCACTAGGCTACTTTATCTGCAGATTGTATGTGAATAAATAGGGCTACTTTGCAGGAGCCAGGTTTAATCGGGAAGTTTAGCTTCCCTAGGCTCTCAATAGTAAATAGAGAGAAAAGGCTCCTCTGGGGTGATTCAGAGCACCTATTTCCTATAGGAGCACCTCTCCTACGTTCCCTGTGGAGGAGGCCTAATGAGACTAGCTGCTCTAGGCTAACATGAACTTCTGGGAATATTTCCCCTGCCCCTGTAGTGAAGCCTACTCCTTTTAAAGGGACATTCAAGTCAGTAATACATTGGGGAAAAATTAAAATTCTCTTTGAATGTGTTAACTTACAAGTTCAGTTTAAGCACAGGTACCAAATAGGAGGTTCCCACACATCAATCAGTTCCCAAGTTACACAGCATGGGTAGGTTGGAATAGGAGTCAAGACCAAAGTGTTAACAATTATTGGTACTCTGGCTTACCACTTTACTTTCCTAGAGTGGAGGAAAAACCTTCACAAATACGTTGTGCGTTTGTTGAGCTGGGGCTGCAAGGCAGATCAGGTTCTTCAGACGTGGGCTTGGACTGCTTAGTGGTATAAGTGCTCTGCTACCCATTAAAACTCTAAAGTGAACATGAGACAGAGTGCTGGGAATTTAGCATAGCGTCTGCATCTTAAAGCCATTGTGTTAAAGCTGCCAAAGAAGTAGGTAACAAAACCTTACTTTTAAAAACGGGCAAGGAACTGTTTGAATAAAAGGCAGTTGTTGCACATGAACCTCGGTCACTTGTGATCTTAAAGCAGGTGTCTATAGAGAGAGTTCGGAACAGCTTCTGGGGGGGAAGGTAAATTCCTAATTCTTAAAACTCATTTTAAGAATCTTCCTACAACAAGTGCCTGCAGGAGTGAGAAAACTCTGCTGTGGCTGTTTGATCCCAGTTCCAAGTTTACTGGAGACTTTGAACTTACTGAATCTCCCAAATGCTAGTGCAGCAGGTCCAATGTTTTAAAATCAAATGTTTAAAATCAAAACCAAAACTGATCTAGTACTAGAGATGCGAGCAAAGCATTTCCCCAGCACAGATGCATACACACACACTGTTCCTCTCTGGTCTTTGAAGGTCTAACAAGAGTAAATATTTTGGTAACAGATTGTTAAAATTCATACTAAGCTATTCAGAGGAAGGAGACTGTATTTTTTTTATCTGTCATGACCACATTCAAAACTGGTGTTTCAGTTATTTGTTCATACACAACATTCACTTTTGTACCAGTGAAACCAGCATACATGAGAAATCCTATAATCAGTTTTAAGATGTTTCTGATTTTTGTCTCTGGGTTTACCAAGTCTTAATGAAGCTATCTTGTCATGAGCCTTTTTTTAGTGATACTTGTGAGTGCATAGATTTAAACTTGGTATTTACACTAAACTTCAAACTGATGCACTTAAGGTAATTGCAGATAGTCATTTACCTCATTGCATCTCATCTACTTAGTTATGCAGTGAACCTATAAAAGCGATCTTTTTAATGCTAATGTCGAAACTAGTTAAACGTTCCTTAGCTTTGTAGTCAAATAAGCTTTCATATTTAGCAACCCTCTTGATATGAATTTAAAGAACAAATTACTTTGTACTAATGATCAGATTAGGGTTCGATTATGGTTTCAAAGTATTCTCTTAATTTTTTTTGCTTTTTAACCATAAAGGGAGACTTTGCTACATATAAAACTGTTGTAACTTCCTATTAATTTATGTGGTGCCCTCTAGAGGATATGTGGCTTGAACGATACTATAAAGAGTAAAATTGCTTATTAACTTGTCTCTCCGTGTTCATTATGTCTTTCAATAAGACAACCATTCTACAGATGCTATAAGCAATAATGTAGCCAGTTTGGGTGCTTTAACATTCGTGGTTAAATTTGCAAACTATGTGATTGCATCTTTGGCTATTTGCAAAGATGCTTCTAGTAACTCTCATTTAGAGATGCCTGCCAAAAAACAAAACCCTCCCTCAGCCCTGATGCACACTCTTCTTCTCCATTTGAGCCCTGAGGTACACACTTTGAGCTTTTTATAAATACTCTGTATCTTCAGAACTTCAAAACTTGCTTTGCTTTAGCTGTCTTCTTTGGTAAAATTAGTTTTACTATATTAAAACCTTTTTCTCCGGGTTGGGGTGGGTTTAGGGGATGGAATAAATGTTTAATGAGGCAATGAGCTTGGAAGATGTTTTGGATGTGAGAGGTTTTACCCTGGAATCTGATTCATGTAAGTCACTCCAGCAGTTTCAGGGGTGGTGTATGACACCAAGGGTATTAAGGTGGCCACGGCAAGAATGAACTCTGTTTTGTTAACGAGGATGAGAAATGACTTGAGTAAAGAAAGGACTCAATGTTAGAAATAACATAGTCCGTGAAAATGATATGCAGAGTATAATTCCCCTGCAGGCTTCTGTCTCCTGCTTATACACTCTTGGGTTAGAAAGTGAAGACTTAATTTAAGGAACTTAGGTTTACGCCAATATTTCAAGTCCATTTACAGTAAGTGAAATATGCAAGAAGTTTTTTTTCCTTTTCTTTTTCCCTCCAGAGCTGTACAGTGACATCTTAATGTATCAGCCTGTCTTGCTCTCTCCTCTCTTCTGACTGGCAGCATGTCCATTTACAAGCACAATATTCCCTTTGAAATCTGTCATTACTGCCATTAATGACCAGTCGTTATGTTAACAGCCCTTGGGCTGTTAACATGTCAAGCTCGTTGTTAACTGGAATGTTACTACTTATTTAAACCGCAGGTATAAGTTGTGTGAAATGTGCTTTGGTTGTGCGTTCTGGGCTGCTTCTGCTCAAAACAATAGGGAAACAGCGGAGCGTTTGCCTTTGGGGTGCCAAGGGATTTGCTTTCTGTTCCATCTGCTCATCTGATTTCTGCATATTTGTGAGGTCCTCCTACCCCTGGGCAGCCTCCTAATTTCAGGTGCAACTGTGTGCAATTCTGTCTCTTAGCCTTGCGTGCAAATGGGCAGCCGTGGATATTTCCAGATGCAAAGTAATGCCTGCCGCACATTTGAGATTAATATCTGGCCCCTAAAAGTGTGAAATGAAAGACCGACAATTACATGTAACACAGTTGTATTAAATAATGAGCTTCCTCGGATGCAGCGAAAATATGAAAGTACAGCTGTGCTAAGCTAGTAGCAATGTAGGTCAATCACCCTTTTCACTTAGGTTTTTAACTACGCAAACCCTGCTGAGCGACCAATGACTACAAAGTGCTGTTTCATTCCTATTTAATTTTGGCAGCATTTTACTGAAGAGCAGGCATTCATGCAGCTAAATTATCTTCACCGTTTCTGGTTTTAACTTCAGCTCCATGACACTAAATGTTGGAGTGCATATCTCTTAGTAAACACAAAGGATATGGTTTCAGATTTATTTTTTCTTCAAATCCATCTCTTAACATGGAAATTGAATTAAACTTTTATTACTTTTCACATAATTTCTCTAGCCAGGCAAACAGATCATAGAAAAAGGATTAACTTAACTAACATATTGGGGTGGAATTTTTACCATTAAACACATCTAGAACCTCATCGTCGATGGGGAGGATCGTGACACAAAACTCTACCACCCTACCACCCAACCTTGGTATTGATTTTCCTCGTAAATGTAGTACTGCAGGCTTTAAAAGTACCACTGAATAGCTATAAAAATGAGCAGATCACTATTCCTGAAGAAAGGGGCAGATCGTGTTGGGTTTTTTTTCTTCCTCACTTTCTAGTTTGAAGACCTGAGACAAACCAAGTTTTAAAACACGTATATTGGATGAGATCTTGTAAATAATGAGACATGACTACAGAAAGTAAAGTGTTCAACCATAAGCATTGTAAAAATGTTGCCTCTGTAAAATACTTAGCTTCTGCAAGGATGCAGACTGAAAAGAGTACCTGTACAACTGGTCACACTCTATATTTAAAAAACTACTATGTAGGAGTACTTAGAGAGGCTTAAAATGTCTTGTGACCTGGTACTGATTAGCAGATCCTATTTCTTTCTCGTGTCGTGGGAAGTGCACATTAAGTATTTCAAACATCTAAGATATCAACTCTCTCAAATACATGTATAAATACTCTATATGCATATTTTCACAGGTAGTGGGTTATAAGGTGTTTTCAAAATGACACCTCAGTATGCTTCTTGCGCAGCTTGATTAAATAAGGGTAGATCTTTAAAGATGTAAGCACTCTGAGTTTTCAGGAGCATTGAGGT